CGCGATCGTACGATTATCGCACACCTTGCTAAAAAAGTTAATTTATCAAGCTGTCATAGTGATTGCTTGATATAAACTGACAAGAAAAAAAAAAGTTTTTTTTATTTTATTTTTATTTTTTTTACAAAGTGTAAAAAAATTAAAATAAAGTGTAAAACAAAATTAGGAAAATATTTTTTTATTTTATTCAAACTAAGTGAGGGGTTAGGTACACATATGTGATATAATTATATAGCCCTATCTGTCCTCTAAAAAACAATATATAATATGTGTGGGTACATTTAGTAAGAAAGTATATTACTGACGTGGAAGAACCACACAGCAAAAATGTAAAAAATGTGTCAGTCATTTATGAACAGAACCTGAAAACTAGCTCAGTCATGAAGGGGTTAAAGTGGAAGTGAGGGGAATCTATTAACATGGACACAGACGGCAGTAAATTGGTGAAAAAAAGATATCTAACCATTGCCTACTTGACTCAGAATAGAAACAATCAACAACAAAAAAATGTTTTTACTACTAGGTTCTCAATTACTAGAGCAGGGGTTCTTACAGGGGCTTTTTTTTTATAATTACACAGCCCAACTGAAATGCCAAATATGTCCCCATACCACCTTCACCAGAATGTTGAAATCATTATCATCACCAGTCCCAATGTGTACTAATAGGACTTCAAAAGACGGCAATAGCTTGATTTTACTTTACATAATGGTTATTTAGTAACAGGAGGAAAGTAAATCTACTACTTCGTAAAAATTTAAAATAAATGTTTTTATTGCAATAACCTCATGGAATAGGCTTTCCCCCATTTTCCAGTGATCACCAGGACAAGAGGAAGGTGAACTGGTTTTACGGCTTCTTCACATCATGTGCAGACCAGAACAGTTTGTCCCCAGACCAAAAAAGCATCTCAATGTATCCATTTGGTATTTCTGGGCTATGTTCACACCAGCTCAGTCCGTTCCAGACCAGACAAAAAAATTACTACTTGTCTCATTTTTCCTGGTCTGGAAAGCATGCAAACACATTGGAACTCACTGGACTGCACCTGAAAGCCCATTTTAAGCTTAAAAGAAAAAGAAAAGCGGCACAAATGCACTGCGTTTGCAGATCTGCTCCAGATCTGGTCCGGGCATGGTGTGAACAAAGCCTAAAGCAAAGATGTCATCAGATTACAAACCATTTTCTGATAATTATGAACTACTAATTTTTTTTATTCTTGTCGGAATGTATTTATTATATCTTCTCTTTGCTCTAAAATGTTTTCATTTCATTTATTTGTTTCTGCCTTCTTAGAAACGCACAGCGACTTCTACCCTGTACCACCTCCCTACAGTGTAGCCACTACTCTTCCAACTTATGATGAAGCTGAGAAGGCCAAAGCCGCAGCAATGGCGGCAGCAGCTGCTGAAGCGGCACAGAGGGTAAGTTGTGTTTTATACTATGTGGCTTCCTAAATGTAAAGTTCTTATTTTGTATTTGTCTTATGTGTTTGGCACTTTAGCATCAACCAATGTATCAAAAAGCTTTTACTGTTTTGCTTATGTCACAATATTGTAATGTCATTCAGATTGCAAGGGAAATCTCAGAATTGCTAAATTTGAAGTAAATCTTTGCTTTTATTTTTGCAGAGTAAATGTTAATTTTAAAGAGCCTGGACCCTGAAAAAATAGCCAGTATGCACAATTTTTAGCAGAAGACACTTTGTATGTCTTCTGCCAAAAAACTCCCTTTGCTTTTTTTTTTTTGCTATTTTTTTTCTATATGACCTGCTGCTCATATGCAGTGTACTATATATATTCTTGGTAACTGTTAGATGCTGAACATTGGAGCCGAGTGCCAGGATTGGTACAACTCATCACACATGAGAGTTGCATCATCAATGGTCTCCTGTAGATGATGGAGAAATATGCCATTAGCGAGATGGCAAGATAAGCTTCTATCACCATGACATTATTGACAAAGGAGAGTGTGGAGCAAGGCAAACACTGAGGTATGTTTTGCAAGTTATGGACAGCCTTTAATGTCAAAGTGCAAAGTTAAGAAGGGACCCCAGCACAGGTGTCCCTGTCCCCTGTCACTTATCAGGCAGATCAGTTACTGCTCCTGGGGACTCCTGGCACTCCTGGCACTGGCCTTATCTCAGGAAGACCACAGAGATTGAAAATCCATTCTGATCTATCTATTCCACACACTCTCCCTGAAATAGTTGGCCAAGTGGTCGAGGTCCCACTGTGTCTCAAAACATACAATCATTTTCCAGTCTGATGATGAGTCAGTTTGGCAACAATGTCTGATGTCTATGGGTATTTTTTAGGTCTACTGAATAATTGCGAAGAATAATCATTCACTGTTATACAACCCACACACATTAAGGACCAGTACTAAAAGGCCGTAGAATAGGGGATATCCCTTCTTGGGCTTGAATATAACCTATGCTCATGCAGTGGAGATATAAAGGATGTATGATGTCATATTTGAAAATTACTGGCTGCTATTAAGGTTTCCCTTATTGATTACAAATTGCTACAGACACACAGCTCAGTGTGCAGTCCCAGCATCTATACGATGCAAGTTCTGAAACAAAGTAATCAGTGGCTAGCCAATGCAGAAGAAAGATGATGCTGGACCGGGAATAAGACTGGGAGAAAAATGGTACAGGAATTAAGGAATATTTACTTGATAAGGGACACAGACATTAGGAATATCAAACTAGTATTTTTTAGGCCGCATGCATCCCTCATTCCTTGCAACCCTCAGCCAGTTTAAGAATTGCAACTAAATGAGGCTCTAACAGGCTACACTTCCTTGCATCATTTTTAAGGCCAAAATACTGTAAGTTACCGTAATTGCTCTAATTTATGTTCACTTCCTGTTCTGTGAATGCAACAGGAAGTAATAAGATGCCTTTTCAATGTGAGGGAACCCCCACTTAGCTGTCACAGGCACAAGTGTCCCCATTGGAAGATTTCCCCTCTATTCCTGTTCTGATGACAACTCAAAGTTTTGGATTTACCCTCACTTTTTTTCCTGTGATAATGGTGATCAGCGCAACTGGAGAGAGTGAATCTCCCTAATACAGGCATAGCAATAAAAAAACCTGACAGTGGTTCTAATCCATTAACACACTATCCAAATCTAAAAAAAATGCTTTTAATTATAACTTAATCAGAATTTTGACTTGTTATCGTACTGTTGCATATTTTTATACAGTGTTGTTCCATTACATTGTTCCAGATGGCTGCCTAACACATTCTTAATTAGCTATGAAATTATTATAGCACTGAGCATGTCATCCTTCGCTGTATTCCGTTTCCCTTCTTTTGTTTTCTTTGCAGCAGCTCTGGACTCGATTGAAATTGTGCAGCACGTTGTTCAGTTTGTTATCTAGTAATGTTTTATGTCATGTGAGAGAATAGTACTTAGAGCTATCTTGTTCTATGAGCCCATTTCAGCACGCAGGGAGTTGTTTTAAACACTTCCAGTCTGTCAGCCCAGCTCAATTACACAGTATGAAATAGCTTTCTCTTGTGTGAGATAAAGAGAACATCATTTGATGATTTGCTGCACTTTAGCAGCTTTCCTTTTGCATTGTAAAAGCTCTTAAGCAGATTATTTTGCTCAGCCTTGGTTTAGTTGGAATACTTTAAACACTTAGACCATTTCCTTGCTTAGCAAGAGTGTAAGGCACAGAACAAGAAGATCTTTTCGCTCAAGCATTTTCAGTGCATTTTTAATTTCTGATATGAAAGGGTTAGTTCACCAGTAACGACCTTTTTAAAACAAAATGCATTACAGCTTTGACAGTACATTCAAATGCTGTCTTCTGTTTTTGAAAATGATTCTTACTTTCAAAGCTGCTGCTACCTTGGACTACCCCTCTCTCTGTCCTGTCTAGGTGGAAGGACAGAGCGACCGTTTGATGTGCTGCCCCAGCCCCTCGTGAAAGAGTACTTGGCTTCAAGAACTCGGCTTGCCTAACCACACATTCACAGTCTGCTCTCTTTCTCACCCGCAGAATGCTGAGCTCAGCCTTTGCTGCTAGAGATAGGGGACTGCACATGTGTGTTTAGGCAAGCCAAGTTCTCGTAGCTGCGTGCTTATTTGTTAATGGCTGGGGTGGCTCATCCAGTGGTCGGTCTGTTGGAGTAGCCCACGGTAGCAGAAGCTTCAAAAGTTAGACTCCTTTTTAAAAATGGAGGACAGCATTGTATTGTACAACCAAAGCTGTAATGCATAAGGATTTCTTTTTTAAATGCCATTAAAAGTGAACTAACCCTTTAACCAGTTAATGAAACATATACATCAGTGAGACCATCAAATGTCCTCATTCATTCATTTTATTTTTGCCACTCAAAAATTCAAGGTTGGATAGGTTAGAGCTTGGGGTGTTGTTGCTCCTATAGAGAGTTTTGACACATTTCCTGTCCAGAAACATCCAACAGGAAGTGAGAGGAAATCTTCCCAATGCCATCTCCTCCCTCTTCCCGAACTATGGGAAGATCTTACTTTTGAAAATTGTCACAGCACAGTTGTCCCTATTGAGAGAGTGCCCCACTGCTCCTGTCCCATTAACAACTGAAAAATGTTAACTTTGAGAGTGTTATTATATTATTCTTTGTGTTTGTTTGCTGACTCCCTCCTGTTCTTTGAATCTAGAGTTCTACTCAAATTTAGCTAACTATATACTTTGCTGATAGGTGTGCTGTGGTTGGGAAGGCATTTGCAGCTGCTGTAAGATTGTGGAACAGAGGTTATGGTTTTCAGGAAGGATATTGGGCTTTTCAACTGTCCAGTTTCTATACATTCTATATATTGTCAAAATGTCCTGTTTTACCTGTTAAAGGATCTTATTTCTGCCCGTCCGTCTTGATGTTTGAATAGCCATTGTGGAGAACACTGCCAGCATGGTAACCAGACTTTCTCGGCCATAATTCTGCCCCGGCCCTCTGACTGGACAGTGAAGGTTCGGCAACAAACAAATGAAGCCATCTCTCTGCTTTTTTCTTCTTTCAGCACGTGTCTGCAGGAAACCTGATTAGCTGGGAAAATGAGCTTGAACCTTTACCTGCCCAGAATAGTGCATAATATTAATATGCCATCTTTTAAATTAGCCTGACTAAAAATTTAAAATATTTATTTTAATACCCACCCTAATAAAGACTCGAAGGGGGATTTATCAATACTGGAGCAGACAAAATCTAGAGCAGTTGCCCATAGTAACCAATCGGCTTCTATCTTCCATTTGTTCAGTTAAGATTTGAAAATGAAAGAGAGAAGTTGATTGGTTGCTGTGCACAGCTGCTCCAGATTTCGTTTGCTCCAGTTTTGATAAATCCCCTCCATAAGCTGTATAGACAAAATCATTTATTCACTGTCTAAAAAGAGCACAGCAGTTGATGGTGTTTTTATTTCTCAGAATGAGGTAGAGGGGGAGGGGGGGCAGACAGATGCTATGCGTTAGTCCTCTGACTATGAGTATAAATTCATTTTGAGATATTCAACTATCTAAATAGACCTTGCTTCAGCAAAGCAGTTACAGTTAGCCTGGTAAACACGTGAGCAAGATCCTAGAGCTCTATCTGCTGGGTAGAAATGATTCTAATGTTTTATTTACTGGACTAAAAATATTTAGGAAGGGTAAATTCCAATGTTTGAGCAGCGCACAAACCTATAAAATATTTCTTCCAGATCTATAACTCTGGATAGATGATTTAGGATATACACAGGATGTCACACAGCCCGTGTGTTGGCTATGTGAAAGCATGGCTCACTTTTGCTGCCTATAATTTTTGACTTATAAGAGTGTAACAGTGAACAATGGGGAGACTTTTTGTCAAAACTGGAGCAGACAAAATCTAAAACAGCTGTGCATGACAACCAATCAGCTATTCTCTTCAGTTTGTTCAGTTAAGATTTGAAAATGAAAGAGAGAGGCTGATTGGTTGCCATTCACAGCTGCCCCAGTTTTCATAAATTTAATTCAATGTATGTTAAAAGTGATGACTGGAGCAAGGGGAAACTGCCTACAGTTGCATCTCTCAGGGCCTGTTCACATGATATCAGGTCCTGATCAGGTGCAGATCTGCAGACTGATGCAGGGCGTTTTGGCCGCGTTTTTGATGCGTTCAAGTAAAAAAAAATGTTGTTTTTTTTTGCTGGAGTGGGGCTGTTAGTATGTTAGCTGCAGTGCAGTGCGTTTTTGCCGCTTTTTGGACGCGTTTGCGTTTCCGGACCTGACAAAATGTGACATGCAGTATTTTTTCTGTCGTAAGCTGAACGGACTGCGCACGTGAGAACTGGAGCCCATAAAACACATAGGGATACATTGGGATGCATTTTGAGTGCAGCAGCATACGGAGCCGGTCAGCACACAAAACGGACGTCGTGTGAACAGGCCCTCAGACTTGAGCACAGTCACATGACTATAGCTACAGGACTGAACAAGCGTTTTCAAATAAAAAATTGTACCATTATTGTTTATTGCGACATGTTGACATTTTATTCATGCAGACTTGTATAGGGAGGAGGGGGGGGGCTTCCAGATATTGTGATCACTATTATTAGCTATCACACCGATCACATGGTCAGGTCCCCAGTCCTCTGCCCCTAATTGTAAACCGTGACCAAGAGCATCTTGGTGACTGTGCTGGAATTGACCTGTAACTGGTACTTTACACCAGGGGGTGGGCTTCCAGATCTTATGATTGATGTGATTGGCTGTCACAGCCATCACATGATCAGGAGCCTTTTCCTGAGCTACTGATTGTAAACAGTGACCGAGAGCATCTTGCACACAGTGCTGGGAGTATACAAGCTCCCGGCACAGATCAATGGATGTGATCTGTATATGACAACAGCCCAACCGTAAAGCCCACGTCTGTGGCTCTGCATATATGAGGCCAGCGTCAATCGGTTATAAATCGGTCAGCTGCTAATTAAGAATATTGTTTGTCTATACATGGCTTTCCAGGTGTTTATCAGGGATAAAGATAAAGGCAGAACATCTGTGGAAGATGTATATTTTAATGTTGCACACCAATTTAGTACTCGCCAAATTATTTAATGTTTCAAGTAAAAGATCTTCACCTTTTACTGAAAATTATATTTGAGAAGGATTGAGAATGTCTGGGTAGGTAAGGAGTTTATACAGACCGAACTGTTCTGACCGTAACCAACTAGATTGGGAAATATTATCTTATAAACACACATATACAATTATCTACTTTTTTTTTTTTTCTGCATATTTGTTTTATTTGGACACTTGTAGATGAATCCTGCAACGTTAAAGGGGGTTAAATGGTGTTGAAAAGGAGTCCTATTCACCTCCCTTTTTTTGATAGGCTCTTTGTAGCATGTTGAATCCAATGGCACATTCCGGTTTAACATTTTGCAGATGTTATCTTATTACTACATGATTGGTGTCTTAAAAGCCCCCACTTTTGTGTGTACCAAGGACAGCATACTAAATATGCATTGTTTTGACCTTTCCATCTGAAAACATGAGCTGCCTGGCTCTTGTACTGACCCTGTAAAGTTAGTACTTTTATTCACCTGGACAAGTATACAGATAAGACTTCAGATTTTTCTTATCAACATACTTGTCCAGGTTCAGTGAATGTGCTAAATCCAAAAGGTCATAAAGAACGCTAAATAAAATAGCATTTTCAGAATGGAGTCGGCAATGGTGACCCCATAGTACAGGTTTTCTTTAAGATTGCATATGTAGTTACCCCTTGCAGGTATTATCCTTTTGGCCAGTGATTCTCAACCTGTGCAACCTCAGGACCCACATTTGTCCTTGGTCATTTAAGTAGTGACCCAAGTCGCACTGCAGTGGATTGCATGGCATTAGGGTACCGCACGTTTCACGTGTACGACGTGGGTGGGAGGTGCGTTTGGGGGTACCATTCAAATGAATGGCAATGCAACACACCTCCCACACCAGCATCCATTGTAGGTGCGATTTGCGTGGTACAGTTTAGCACACTGTACTAGTGTGAACAGGCCCTCAAAAACACTGACACTCCAAAAATGTGTGGTCTGCTGTGCAGTGACACATCTCCATCCATATGTGCATTGCTTGTACAGATCCCTGCATGCTCTGTAGAGGTGCGGGAGCCAGAATGTGACGTCACTCTGCTCCAGGCACCTCTACAGGACACGTGTAGCTGTAAGCAATGCACGTATGGATGGAGCTCCCTCAAGCCATAGCCCCATCCCACCTGAAGCATATTTTGTTTGCTTGGCGCAAGAACTAACAGTGCAGCGCTGGGGGGAGGTACACTTACCTCCAAGTGTAAGGCATGCGGGGACCCACTGAACACGGGGTCACGACCCACCTGTTGAGAACCAAGGTGTAGGCCATTTGTAGAGCACTTTTAAGGGGACTGTCTAATGCCTTCTGGTTGCTGCCCACTGCTGTGTCCTACTTAGATCCTTTCCACTGTACTCAACAAATACTAACAAGGGCAGCCTGATAAAGGCGGGGCTTAGACCGCCTCTTTACTAGCCATCTGCATCTACCCTTTAGGTTTATAACTGATGGATGATTTTCATCTTGTCTCACAATTACAATCAAGAAAAATGTTGTATGTTTTCAAGCCACTTTAGCTGTCAAGGGCCTTCATTTTTCATCCAGACATTTGAGTATTGTACCAGTCCACACTAGTCCATTTTGTCAGGAATCTGGTGATCATGGAATGTGTCTGCTTGAGATACTGGAACTGTAGGTACTTTCCTGCCTCCATTACATCCAGAAAGCCTTGCGTAATAAAAATAATAAAGTTCTAAGAAGTTCAGTCCTACTTTCTTCCTAGTCATGATTTTGGGGTGTTTTTAAACTGGCTGCAGTTAAATTAGGCTAAACCTGGGGAACATCCTGATTTTGCTCTGGTTGCAGTGTTTGGTAGATAACCTAAGTAGTTAGCTGGGGTAAGATGGAAGCTTAGAGAGAGCTACATCCCAAATAGATATCCTTTCCTTGGTTGTCCAATATAAAATATGTGATTCAGGATTTGCTGTACATTCCTATTCTTTTTTTGCAAAATAGTATGAAAGTGTATGTCATTCTTTCAAATCTCCAGAGTATTAGAAAATGTGTGCTAAGTGTCTTCACACTTCATATGAACGTTTTCTAACATTTCAGTGATTGTGGGCTGAGAAATTGTGAAACTATTTACTTCTAGGTCAAAAGCCTTACCTCTGTGCTTCAGTTCTTTTGTCTTGTGTCTTTGTTTTCCATGCTAAGCACGGCCCAGTTAGAGAGTCTAGAAGTCTGTTTGATGAAATATTCCTCAGTCCTTCAGAGGTATGGAACCATTTTAGTCTTTGATATCAATTGTTTCATGCTGAGATTTGAACTTTCTTCCTTTCCCCATCTGTTATTGTTATTAAAATGTTGGATGAAAAATTGTGCTCTATATAATGCTGCATGGTGATGCTGTCCTTTACACCATACCATATTTTACTATTTTACCTTGACACTAATGGGTTTTCTTAAATATAAATTCAGTTCCCAAACCACAAATTTCAAAATATGTTTACATAATTCTTTGCTGTGACATCAAACAATAAGCCAGGAACAGATTTATGCTTTTATATATTTTTATTTTTATTTCTAATTCTTATTCTAGCATGCTTTGTGTGCCTGCCGAACATTACAGGTTAAACTGATGGGTTTATCTTCAAGAGCTTTTCATAACCTTCACAGGAATTCAATTGGTATTCTGTAGGAAGCTACTTTGCCACACTCAAAACCACTGAATGGCTTTTCAGGTACCCTCTTTAGGGCTATGGTAGACTGCCATTTAAAGTGAGCCTTTGCTTTTCCCATACTTTAATTGTTGCTACACCAGCATTACATACTAACTGTCCTTTACACTCCCCCCGCTGAGAGCAAACGAAATTACCTGTTACTTCTAGTTGGGGGGATGTGACTCTGTTCTACTTCTTGTACATGAAAGACCTTGTGCTTAGTGATTGACTGCTCAGACACATAATACTGTCTGGCATGAGGAGAGTCTAGCCATGTAAAAGGGCTAAAGGGCTTTGTATCTTCACTCCCAATGGCTTAATGGAGTGGCGAGATGTGTAAAGAGAAGGAAACTATATGAAGCTAGTGTAGCTTGCATTAAAGTGGACCGTTATCCCCTTTCACTAAAAATCACATCGGCATGCAGCTCTGCATGCTGATTTATAATCAGTTACATATTATTTGAGGTTGAAAAAAGACACTGCTCTATCAAGTTCAACCTTTGTGTGTCTGTATGTGATTTGTGTGTGTGTGTGTGTGTGTGTGTGTGTGTGTATATGAATCCCTGTGTGGTCTAGTTTTTAAATCATCATCTTGCATTCATTAGTTAAACAAACATGTTTTTAATTTACTTACAAATAGGGTTTATCCACTTCCTGGTCTACTTTGGCACAAATGATGTAATTGTGCCTAAGTGGAAGGTTACATCAGCAGAACATTGCTGAGAAGCCTCATCTGTAATCTCACGAGATTTTATGGAAAGGCATTTTCCTCCCCGGAGATGATGTGCATGGTCATATGTACCAGAGTTCCAGTAAATAAAGGGATATATGGTAATCTGCCCTTAGTTAAAATGGCCACTACCAGAAGACTGGGGAAGAACAGAGAAATATCGTAAGCAAAGAATATAAATCCTGCAATTATCTAGAAGTATCTGTTTGGAGATTGTCATTACTAAACATTTATAAAGGTGTGTTTGTTATCTTCAAGATAACTTGAAGATATGGGTAAAGTTCCTATTTAAAGGAAAGCTGTGCTTTGCTCTACACTCCGCTTATAGGCTTAACCATATCCTATGGAAATTCTTTGCATTGCCCTCAGCAAAACTGACAAGTATAGCTTGAGTCAGCCTCTAAAGTGGCCATCTACACCTGCCCTTAAGTTGTCATATGGGGGATTGTTCACATCTCCCAATTTAGAAAAATGCTACTGTAAGTTTTCAACAATTTTCTAACCATAAGTTCCAATGTCGTGATACATAAATACATGTTTCTTATGACAAAACTTGTCAGACAGAACCCTATCATGTTTGCTGATATTTTTTTTAGAGCTTGTTGTCAAACAAGCTGCAGACATATTGCATTGGCTCAAAAGTTAGAGCATAGCATTTTACATCTGTCTTTTAGAAGCCTCCTTTCTGGAATAATATAGCTAGTTAGGCTACACCTAATTTGCCAACACCTGCCATGTACATTAGGCAAAATCGACTTCCACTGGTGATTTATAGACAGGTAGATAGTGAAAAAAAAATTTGTATCTGACTTTGTGTACACGTAATGTGTAACATAGTGACCTGTTTATAAATGAGTGGCATATTGAAACTTGGACACTATTTCCACATATGCCTCTTTCGGAAGCCAATTTGCTACCATTTTGTTTCCCACCATATTTTATAAAAGGTTGAACTGATAACTTTTAATTTAAAAAAAGTGTTGTATTGACAAACGCAGATGCCAGACTTTAATGAACAGGCTCTATTACAGATTTATTGCAGATGAAGAGGCTTTTTTTTATAACTAAATGCATTCACTACTGTTTTACTGTTTTATAATGTGCTTTATAATGTGAATGTATTTTACAAATTGTGTGTGT